AAGTCACGTATCAACCGGGGGGATGGTGGAAATAATTAGAAAGCACTTTGTAGCGTACGGGATAACAAATTACCTAGGTGTGTTATATGTGCACAAAGTAATCATCAAGGAAAGCAGAGAGCACCAAAAGGGGAATTTCCCCAGGCCAGGTATCCATTCCAACAGTTGGAAATTGATTTTATAGAACTTACAAGAAGTGAAGGGAAAAAATGGTGTTTGACTGTGATAGACAAGTATACCAAATGGGTAGAAGTCTTTCCAACCCCCTCCGCTGATGCATTCACAGTAGCTAAAGCTTTATGTCAGGAAATAATCCCTCGATTCGGATTGCCAGAAACTATATATTCCGACAATGGGTCTCACTTCGCCAACCAGGTGATAGATAATAATGGACAGAAGTTACATATTAATATGAAGAAACATTGTTCATATCATCCGGAATCAGCGGGTTTGATTGAACGCACTAATTTGACGATTAAATCACATCTGAGATAAACGCACATGAGTACAGGAAGAAATTGGGTACAATGTCTACCAATAGTATTAATGACGATTAGGGTAACACCGGATAAAGATGGGTTATCCCCCTTTGAAAAAGTGTTTGGGAGACCATATAGAATGCCTGAGTTAGGCAGACTAGAGCAGGCAGATATAGAAGTAGAAGGGACGTTGGCGGGACATATGAGAAGACTGTTCATTAACCAAACACGTATGTCAAAGATTCTGTGCCCCACAGGAGAACTAAAGGAGAGGGTAACCCACTCTATCCAACCAGGAGACTGGGTGTGGATACAATCCCTAAAGAAGAAAGACTGGAAACAGCCCCGTTGGGAAGGCCCCTATCAGGTTCTATTGGTCACCGCCTTTGCCATTAGAATAGCAGAGAGAGGAACCTGGGTCCATGTTACCCACTGCAAGAAGGTAAGACCACATACAAGCACCACTTAGCACACGCAGAGTTGAAGAGAAGAACTAGACCGAATAGGGTCCGGGGATCACCTCTGTCAACGAAGATCTCCTACCCCGACCTATCATCACTGTAGTGTGTTCTTAGGGTGTGAGTATGGGGTGGTACCAAGCAGAAGGACTAAAGGCAGGAGAGGGTTGGCGGTTTTGGGGAATATGGGTGACCCTGAGCTGCATCATAGTCTCAGCAATAGTCTTGGTATGTCAAGATCCACCACCACCCCGCACCAATTACGCTATGGCCTTACCATTATTAAGAAATAAAAGGGAAGCAACCCGACATACTGACCGTCAAGGACGAGTGATCTACAAAATAGGGGTCAGAGAAGGGTGGGGAGTAAGATTCAAAATTAGGATCAGGGATCTTATCAGGGCAGATAAGCAAGCAACGTGGGATTATAAAATCCCATTGTATTTATGTTCAGCTCCCTCGGCGGATTGTTCCTGGGCTCAGGTATTTAGACATACTGGGGGACGGAGATATGAGATGGGGGGGGCTGGACGTCCAGATGGAGGATAAGAAGGTATAACGACATCCCCACGGAGATGGTAGTAACAATAGTAAAGGTCACTAAGGAGGACATGAAAAGAACTTACTGGGCTTGCGCGGACGAATATGGACGGGATACTTGTCTGAGATTACATTTGATGGAGTCAAAAGATATGGGGGGCACAGGTACTGTCATTAATCCACTAACAGCAATAGACCGAGTAAATCAGTCTATTGATGACAGAGTCAATTCGACTAACCCGTCCACTATGAAAGGTTTTCTCCTCCAAGAATGGAACCAAGGGGAAGTGGAGGGGGTCCCTGATGATAATCTCTGGTTAAAGTGGATGAAGTACACCACTAGGGCCTTGGGGGAGACCAATTGTTATGCATGCTCCATTGGGCGACCGACAATGTTAACCGCCCCAATGCCAAAGGCAATGTTTCCCTGTGTATTAGAGCTGGGGTCCAATCAAAAAGAGCCCAATTGCACAGGGATTGGGCTGGCAAAGTTGGCATACTCGGCCAGCCCACCTAGATTCACTTTAACTCCTGGCGAATACCAGTGTTACAGACATAGAAATGGCACCCGTAACTTGGGTGATTTTGATGGCTGTAAGGAGATAATTAATGTGACTGATTTAGATAAGGAAGGGAGGGGAAAAATTAGGAACCTTACCATCCCTCTGACTGATGTGTGGTGGGCATGCACTAACAAAGGGAGCATTCGACAGACATTACCAGAGGGATGGGTGGGTACTTGTGCACCAGTATTGTTGGTCCAACCTGTAAGAATTAGTCATCAAAGACCAGTGAAAGGAAGAATAAACAGGAGAAAAATAAATATAGGTCAGGAAGGAAATAGCCCAATTTGGATAGATGGTATAGGCATCCTCAGGGGTGTTCCAGACGAATACAAAGCTATGAATCAAATATGGGAGGGTTTTACCACAACATTTTTCTGGTGGGTGACAATAAACAAAAATGTGGATTGGATTAATTATATCTATTACAACCAACAACGATTTATTAACCAGACTAGAGATGCAGTAAAGTGGATCTCCGAACAATTATCCGCCACCTCACTCATGACTTGGGAAAATCGGTTGGCTCTGGATATGTTGCTGGCAGAAAGGGGTGGAGTCTGTAAAATGGTGGGGGGCCATTGTTGCACATTTATCCCTAACAACACCGCACCGGAGGGGACGGTCACCAGAGCTCTTGCAGGATTAACTGCGCTAAGTGAAGAATGGGCTGAAAACTCAGGAGTTAGTACATCTTGGACAGAATGGTTTGATACCATGTTTGGTAAATGGAAAACCATAGCAGTAACCATCTTAGGGGCAGTCAGTGTTTGTATGGGGATTCTTGTATTATGTGGTTGTTGTCTTGTTCCCTGTGTCCGAGGATTGATGAGCAAGGCGTTGGTGAATGCAGTATCTCACCAAATGATAAGAGATGGACCGACTCCGGACTCTGATCAGGAGAGTGGGAAATACGATCCTCCAGGCTTTGGGGATAACGAGGACTTTGACCCTGAAAGACCGCAATTGGATGAAACTTTTATTGGTTCTGACGTATGAAGATCATAGGGAAAATCCTAAAAAGAAGACCTATGATTGGAAGTAGATAAATATAACTAATCTCTAAGATTAATCATGTTTGTAAATACATTTATCCTGAATATGAAATGATTTAGTCATAGGGGTGGATTGATAGATTAATTTGTATTTTAAGCTAAAGCTAAAGGATTTCACCCCAAATACAGTATAAAATGTGTAAACAATGTTACAATTATCATGTAGTGTCAACCCACTAACAGAGGGGGCGGTACTAAACATTCACGGGTGAAGGGGAAGGCGGAAACTGTTTAGAAAAGCCACCTAAAGGTGGGAGGAGTCAAGTTCAGGAGGTATAAAACCGTATGTATGTGTTTTTGGCGTCAGAGCTCTCCATTAATAAAAATACAGATAATACTTGTGGGTTGTGGACCTTGAATCATTGATGATTAAAACCAGAGTCTTACAACCTCTGGTAATGATTCAAGCTTAGGTTGAATTAGAGATAGGAATTCTCTTAACACCTAGGCAGCGGGGTAAACCAATAGGAGCAGAGCTCCCCTATGGGGCGGAGCTCCACAATATAGAACGGAGCAAGGTAGGGTACAGTGATGAGAATGACCCTTCGTATCTAGTAGGAGTACGATTTGTTAATAAGGAACAGCTGAGCAGAGTACCAATCTTGAAGAAACAATTTGAGTTATCCAAACTGGTGGAGAGAGTGCTGGGTAAAGTGAAGGCTGTGAGGATCACGAAAGGCGGGCTTGTTTTTTTGTTGAGATTCTGCGGATCAGAAGGAACGTGCGTTGTGTCTTAATCCATTTGATAAGTTTGATGTGTTGTGTGTGTCTCTTCGGAACAGGGCTCCCCTCAAGGGGGTTACAGTGCTATGAAAAAGTATTTGCCCCCTTTCTTATTTTCTCTACTTTTGCATATTTGTGATACTGAATGTTATCAGATCTTCAACCAAAACCTAATATTAGATAAAGGGAACATAAGTGAACAAATAACACAACAATTACATATCTATTTCATTTATTTCATAAACAAAGTTATGCAACACCCAATTCCCCTGTGTGAAAAAGTAATTGCCCCCTTACACTCAATAACTGGTTATGCCACCTTTAGCTGCAATGACTCCAACCAAATGCTTCCTGTAGTTGTTGATCAGTCTCTCACGTCGCTGTGGAGGAATTTTGGCCCACTCTTCCATGCAGAACTGCTTTAACTCAGTGATGTGTGGGTTTTCAAGCATGAACTGCTAGTTTCAAGTCCTGCAACACCATCTCAATTGGGATTAGGTCTGGACTTTGACTAGGCCATTCCAAAACTTCAAATTTGTTGCTTTTTAGCAATTTTCATGTAGACTTGATTGTGTGTTTTGGATCATTGTCTTGCTGCATGACCCAGCTGCGCTTCAGCTTCAGCTCACAGACGGATGGTCTGACATTCTCCTGTAGAATTCTCTGATATAGAGCAGAATTCATGGTTCCTTCTATTAAGGCAAGTCCTCCAGGTCCTGAGGCAGCAAAGCATCCCCAATGGAATATTAGCAAAAGCCGTTCCATCTTCTCAGGTCCTAGAGCCTGAGAAAGGAGATATGGAGAACTAAAAGTTTGTTTTGGCAATGTACTATTTTTATTAGAGTGGATTGTTAGTATCACTATAAAGTATGGATTTTTTTTTTTTTTTTCAAACCGTCCAGTTGGTGGCGGCAATACAACTTTTGGATGTAGTCCGCCATAAAACCCACAGAAGAAGAATAAGAATTTCACGAACGGGTGGAGTATGGCTTTACACGCGTTTCTTGTACAGTAGGCTAGTAAATTGTGCATTTGAAATGCCTTTTTATAAATAGCGCTGCTACTAGGTTGTGCATTGGATGAACAGCAGCCTAAACTGGAGAGCTATTCGATCCACAAAACATATTGAATAGTGGTTTATTTAAGGACTCGCTTCCGTATTTTGACACATTTCGCTTGGAAATGGAGATTACCACCGCGATGGGATGCTCTGTTGGTTTTGCCTTCGGAGGACTAGTATTTGTAGCGTATAAACTTGGTTTACTGTATCAGTTGTTTCATAAGGTAAGTCACTTCCGTGTAAACAATGTTTCATTCTAACTTTGTGTCAGCCTGCTCACTTGCTGTCTCAACTCTTAAACTCACCTGCAACCTGGCATTCTCATAAGCAAAACACCTTGTTCATGCCTTACTACAGTATCTGTCTTCTTTTTATTTACTCCTCCACCTAGCCTAAGTGAACCTGCATAATACTCAGATACTCATCTAGTAGGTGAAAGGTAACCCTGCTGCATGTGAGAGAACCACCTTGTGGCTATCTAACACTAAGGCCATGATAACACATTGCAGGTTCTTCAGAAGTCATACAATAGGCTACATAAGGAGCATTAGGCCTTCAAATACAATATGCAGTTCATTGCTAAATACAAGATAGTGATCTATAGATAAACAATAGGCCTTTTCTAGTTTACGACATCCCTTTTCAGTTAATTAAACCAAATTATACATTGTCCATGACCCTGATTTGAGATCTGCCTGTTCAGTCCTTTCCCTGAGTTCTCTACCTTTTCCCCCAGACTGAGACCCAGAGCCCTCGCCATGGTGGAGAGAGTGTGGCAGAGGTTCTGCGTGCCCATGGGGTTAAGTTTGTCTTCACCCTGGTGGGGGGGCACATCTCGCCCATCTTGGTGGCCTGCGAGAAGCTGGGCATCCGCATTGTGGACACCAGGCATGAGGCTACTGCCGTCTTTGCAGCTGACGCTGTAGCCAGGCTCTCAGGTAAAGTAGTACCATACATTACCTACTATAATATCCCAAATACCTTACCTACAGTGTCGAGCTGAACCGTCCGGGACTGGTTTAACTTACTTAGTGCACTGTATTCTACTCGTGTTCATACTGTAGCATTGACACTGTCAGTGATTCTCCCTCCAACAGGCACTGTAGGTGTAGCTGCAGTGACTGCTGGCCCAGGCCTGACTAACACAGTCACAGCAGTGAAGAACGCTCAGATGGCCGAGTCTCCACTGCTTCTCATAGGGGGAGCTGCTGGAACACTACTTCAGGTGAGAGTCTAAGGGCTTTTACTGGTGTAGCTGCATGGGGGTACCCTAGTCCTAACATTAACATTAACACTGGTCCTCTGTAGCTCAGCTGGTAGAGCACGGCGCTTGTAACGCCAAGGTAGTGGGTTCGATCCCCGGGACCACCCATACACAAAAAAAAATGTATGCACGCATGACTGTAAGTCGCTTTGGATAAAAGCGTCTGCTAAATGGCATATTATATTATATTATATTATATTATAACACTAAGGCTAAGGTCACGATGCGCCAGCAAGTCAACAAAATCAACAAAATACCATAAGCTTGCACTGTAGAGTTGTGTGACTGTGGGTGATTATAATAATATGCCATTTAGCAGACGCTTTTATCCAAAGCGACATACAATAACATCTAATTCCCCCTATCCATTGTGGAGGTTTGACCTCTTGGTGAACTTTTGTTGTGCAGGGTAGAGGAGCACTGCAGGACATTGACCAGATGTCCCTGTTCAAGCCGCTGTGTAAGTTCTGCGCCTCGGTGAGGAGTGTGAGGGAGATTGTCCCCACGGTGAGGAAGGCCCTGGCCATCGCCCAGTCTGGAACTCCAGGCCCTGTGTTCATAGAGTTCCCCATTGACACACTCTACCCCTTCCACCTGGTGTCCAAAGAGTTCGGAGTGAAAAACCCTCCCAAGGGAATAATGGGGAAAGTTGTCACTTGGTAAGTAATCAGCAGGATTGTGCATGACCATACTTTCACACATCCCTTGTGATTTGTGAAAGTAACAGATGCTGTATATTTCCTTCCATAAGGTACCTCCACAATCACCTAAAGAACTTGTTTGCTGGGGCCTGGGAAACAAGAGACTTGTCACCTCTCCCTGTGCACATCCCTCATGCCACAGACGATCAGGCAAGACTAACTAACCCTTAGTCATTCTCTAACAACAGTGAGAAAGGCTTCATTTGGTAGAAGCCGTTAGTTCGTACTGTAACCAGTTACAGATTTCCAATAGACATGAAGGCATGTTTTTTATGTGACCCTTGTGGCTCAACCTCTAGTGATCTGTCATCAGGTACAAAAGTGTATAGAGCTGGTGAGCAGAGCCAAGAAGCCTGTTATCCTACTGGGGAGCCAGGCAACACTACCTCCAACACCTGCAGATGACATCAGGTATTTCAACAACCACATTTATATTACACAAGACATCATCAGACTTCTGGTCCATTCAATGCCATTTCATATAGTTGTCCTGTTACAGGGCGGCCCTGGAGTCCCTGGGTATCCCCTGCTTCCTGGGTGGAATGTCCCGTGGCATGCTGGGTAGGGACAGTCCCTTGCACATCAGGCAGAACAGGAGGGACGCCCTAAAGTACGCAGACCTTGTGCTGCTAGCAGGTGAGACACTAACAGCCAACTGTAAGTATTGTCTCCATACAGTTGTTGTATCTTTGAGGCTTCTCTCACAGTGGTGGTATGTGTTGCAGGAACTGTATGTGACTTCCGATTAAGCTACGGCAGAGTTCTGAACAGGCACAGCAAGATCATTGCTGTCAACAGAGACAAGACTCAACTTCTGAAGAACTCTGACATGTTCTGGAAGCCCACTGTGGCCATTCAGGGTTGGTACAGCTGTCTGAATTGTCCAATCAGAAGTCTTATTTACTTTCACAAAACGCTGCCACTACCTGTTTGAGCTATTTGATCTTTTGGAGTCTCACATTTCTGTTTGTCTTTTAGGAGATGCAGGCTCCTTCCTACTCCGTCTCTCCAAAGGCCTCATGGGCCACAAATGTCCCGAGGATTGGCCACAGAGTCTCAAAGCAGGAGACGTCACCAAAGAGAAGGCTAATCGGTACACTTGTGGAATTCATTCAGCCAGTTGGGCAGAAAGCCAACAGTTTTTTTTTTTTTGTATACTTAACCAATGACCTCCATGCAAATGACTACAGTCAGTACATCTAGTGCACCAAACACAGACAATACAAGGTGTGTTAGTTCCCTGTGAAAGTGTGTTTTGCTCTGTGTTTTCCGTGCAGGGGGAAGGCTGATGAGAAGACGGACCGCCACCTGAACCCCCTGAGTGTCCTGCACCGTGTCGATGAGCTGATGGCTGACGACAGCATCATAGTGGCGGATGGGGGCGACTTTGTGGGCAGTGCTGCCTACATCATGAGACCAAGGGGCCCACTCCGCTGGCTGGATCCAGGTCAGGATCCTCAGTGTTAGGAGTAAAAAAAAATATATATATATATATATATATATAGACAAAATATGTTTTCAAATGTGTTATAGGATGTGGTCACTTGAGTAAGAGAGGTATTAACATGTACAATAAAACAAATAGGACTTGTTTATTGAATTTGAATCCGGGACGTTCTTGATGTCTTAATGGATGATAACCTGATGTTTTTTGTCATTCTAACAGGAGCATTTGGAACCCTTGGTGTTGGAGGAGGGTTTGCTCTGGGAGCCAAGCTGTGTCGACCTGAGTCAGAGGTACAGTAGAATACCAAGCAGGCTTTATCGATCACTGTTTTATAGGAGTTTAGGTTTGTTCATGTTGTGAAACACCATTTTTGGCTGAGTTTAGCTGACTAAGTTTCTCATTGAGGTGTGGATCATCTATGGCGATGGATCCCTTGGATACAGTGTTGCCGAATTTGACACTTTTACCAGACACAAGGTATAGTAATAACCAATTTACCATTCAGACCAACTTATCAACTAACTAATCATGCATTCAGACCAGTTAATCTGCTTTGTCCCTCTCTCTCCCAGACGCCAGTAATTGCTCTGGTGGGGAACGATGCCTGTTGGAGCCAGATCTCCAGGGAGCAGGTTCCCATCCTGGGCAGCAATGTGGCCTGTGGCCTGGCCTTCACAGGTATTTATGTTGGCCTACTGTACCCCCACTGCCACCACACTGGGGATCTCTAGTGCCCATACTCACACATGCAATGTCTCTGTTAGCCCATGTCATCTGTTTGGATGTCATGTCACACATCCAACATGCTGTCTCTATTTTACTCTTCCCTAGATTACCACATAGTTGCAGATGGTTACGGAGGCAAGGGCACCGTCATTGGTCGCGAAGACGAGGACAAGCTGGATGACATCATAAAAGAGGCACAGAAGGAGACCCGAGAGGGGAGAGCCACACTACTCAATGTTCTCATAGGGAAGACCAACTTCAGAGAGGGCTCCATCTCTGTGTAGAGTAGCTCAGACAGACAGACAGACAGACATACCGACCGCAACCCCTGGGGTCTCTGTCTGGGCCTGTGGGTCCTAAAACCTCCCCACCTTGCCTAGAAACCCAAATCTGTTCACATGCTGTGGAACAGTACATCTGCTGCATTTCTCTGGTGAAGAAGGGAAAAGATGAGTGTGAGGGACCTCAACAATTCAGGAACTCATTCTTCTCAACCTTTATCAGCCTTTATATCTGTTAAAATGAGTTTTGATTATGGACTTGAATGAATGAAACTGTTTTTGGTTGTTTTTGCTTGAGAGAACTTGACATGTATGCTTTGGAAAATGAACTACGGCTGGCTTTGCAGCTGTTATTATGTAGTAGGCCAGTATCCTTGCTGTATACACTTTTAACTAATTAATGTATATTGACTTCGGATAGCCTATTGATTTACTGAACTCTACCTTGAAGCTGGTCATTTATTTTGAAAAACAAAGAAAGTGAATTTTGGAATGACATGTCCTTCATAGGGATATTTATGAAAATGTGTATCATACACTAAACTACAAGCCGCAGCAGGATTTGTAGGGTTAACAACAAGGTAATAATACAATTGTAATAATACTGTAATCATTTAACTTAAAGGGTATAGAATTGATGATTAAATGCCTTTAATTCTTGAATGTATAGTAGGACTCCACAAATACATCAATCAACAGAATGGATACACAAATACAAGACGTTGATTCAGAAGTTATTTATATGCAGTAGTAGTGCCCTATGAAAGAGGAAGGAATTTAAACTGGAAGATGTTATCATATTTTACCATTTGGGTAGTGGTCATTATAATCTTAAGTAAATTATAACATTTTATTATACTCATACTATTTCAGGTTACACTATACTATTTCAGACTGACCTATTTTAAGGAATTCTGCATGATCCTGATCATGCAAATTGAAGTCCACCTTAAATTTGAATGTTTTGAGAATATTTGTAATATTATAATATTTTCTGTTTTGCTTTGGATTGAATCACTATGTACTATTCATCATGTTTGGGTCGTCGTAAGGAGAGGGATTGGAAGACACCTGCCCTAAATCTGGGTCTGAGAATCTGTCGCGCTGGCGTTTTGTATTTGATTATGTTTGATTATATAATATTGTATCTTATATGTAAACACAGTGATACTAGTATGCCTCTTTTCTTTTTCAGTGATGACCCAATGCATTTAGTCATCAGTCCTGGAATCAGAACGCCATGGGATTATAGGGACAGTTGTTATTTTTGCGTTGCAATAAAGACAAGAATGGAAATATATAGTGGGGGGTTTTCAGCGCTATTGAGTGGCGTCTTTGTGACACCAGATATATTGATTGTCTAATTCTGAGATTCTGACCATCGTTACGACAAGCGTGTGACTACACTATGCACTCCTTATCCTCTATCATTTACCTTGAACTTTTATCAACTTTGAGGTCAAGATTGTGTTGGCTGTAGGCAGAGCTACTGTACATTCAGATCTCTATATGTCTCTGGCTATATAGTCACAAACATGCTAGTCTTGCGTTACCATACTATCAAGTCTCGTTAAATGATTGTTCTACTGTGTTAATTTTCTATGACTGTTTTGGATAATAGGATATTATGGTTTGCTTTTAGATTCGGTGGTCATAGTCTACAAGTGTTACAGCCAGTGTATTACATATTAATAATACACTTCAGATCATCACACCCTAACCATTTACTTTGGTCCTATTGGTCGAAACAAACAATGAGCAGTTATAGGTCTGCTTGATGTATGATGAATGCTTGTTATTTGGCCAACAGTGGTCCTCTCCTTGCTCTTAACTCCTTTTCCTTTTATTTTCCAGCTGAATGTTCTCCTCTTTGAAGTGTTAATCCGTATCTCACAAAACTGCACCTGTAGACCTCTTTCTTATTCTCTACTTTTCCTGGGAGAGTTGAACCTCCTGTGTACCCTTCCATGGTGAGCAGTGCCCCTCCCGATTCTCTGGAGCTCCTGCAGTGCGAGAGCTAACAGCAGGGCTTGCAAAGACTTTTCTTGTGTTCTGGGTTGGTCCTGCTTTCATATTTCCTCAGGCAGTACTAATGGAATTGACTGATTTAATGCAGATTTCTTTAGTATTTTTGTCCTGAATGCTGTTATGTTTTTACAGCAGGATGACCTGTCTTGGTAACCTTTGGCCCACTCCTTGTGGGTGCAATTCTCATAATTACCAGTAGATGGTGGACTCACCATTGTTGGTGTGTAGGACACGAGTACACTATTACCATAGCTACAACAATGAAACTGATATTTCACCAGATGTTTAAATGTGAAGCATCCGGTTGGCGTTTCCTCTCACCACGAGATAGATGAAACATTTGATCTCCATACAGTTTTCTGTTTCCAAAACTAGAATCTGTAATAATCAGTGTGCACTAACTTTTGTAGACTTGACTTATCTAATTGTTTATAGAGATTTATTTGTTTAGGACGAGTGCACTAGTTAGTGGGTGTTTTCCTAATTAACAACGTCATGCATATTCAGTAGGGCACAAATGGTCCTCGTCCTCTTCTTGGCGGTAGCTACCTAGCTTGTCCCCGTAGATAAGGAAGCTAGCTAGCTAGCTAATTCACAACTCACAGAATGCACAAAAACAACGTACTTGGCTTAAATAGCTAGAAATGTCTTTGCATGTTTTGACACTACTAGTACTCCATCTCTGAATCAACTTTTTTTTCACAATAAGAAACATACCTCATCAAATACCTCATAAACAACTTGGGCTCCCGAGTGCATCTCAGTGCTTGAGACGTCACTACAGACCCCCTGGTTCGATTCCAGGCTGTATCAACCGGCCGTGATTGGGAGTCCCATAGGGCGGCGCACAATTGGCCCAGCGTCGTCCGGGTTTGGCCGGTGTAGGCCGTCATTGTAAATAAGAATTTGTTCTTAACTGACTTGCCTAGTTAAATAAAGGTAAACAAATAAATACATTTAACATTTCAGTCATTTAGCAGACACTCATATCCAGAGCGACTTACGGTAGTAGTGAGTACATACATTTTCCCCATACTGGACCCCCATGGGAATCGAACCCACAACCCTGGCGTTGCAAAAGCCATGCTCTACCACCTGAGCCACACATTTACTGTAACATGTTCTCGGTGGTTCTGTTCAGGTGGAGGGGAAGCAATAACAAATAATAATTATGCACAGCAAATTTCTCGCTTCATTATGATATTGTTGAGCTGGAATCTCATGTTTTTTAAAGATACTGATAACTACTGCAGTTATTACAAAGATATAAATATGAGGCTATGTGCAGTAATCGGCTGCAAGGGAGGAAAATCATTTTTCCAATTTCCAACAGTCGTTGAAAGGTATTGTAATGACCTGACTAGATCATAAAAGAACAACTGTCCAGACATTGCTCGCGTCTGTGTCCAGGATAAAGGGCAATGTGAGGTCAGGGGGGGCGAGCACGGGGGCCTCGATCAGTGCACGTTTGAGGGTGTTGAACGCCTCCTCACACTCCACTGTCCAAGTGAAAGCCTTGTCCTTCGGCAGCAGGCGGTTCAGTGGAGCAGCAACGCTTGAGAAACCCCGTACAAACCTCCTGTAGTACGAGGCCAGGCCCAGGAAGCTCTTCAGCTGACGCTGGTCGGTGGGGGTGGGCCAGTCTCTGACAGCCGCTACCTTGTCCTCCATGGTGCTGATCCCCTCCTTCCCCACTCGGTGGCCCAAGAAGGACACCTCTCTCCTCATGAAGTGGCACTTCTCGGGGTGGCGCTTCAGACCTGCGGCAGCCACCCTCTCCAGCACACACCGTAGCGCCCCCAGGGCTGACTGGAAGGAGCTGCCATGGGCCAGGATGTCATCGAGGTATACCAGACACTGCTGTCGGGGGATGCCATCCAGCACCCTGTCCATCAAACGCTCAAAAGTAGCTGGAGCGTTGCACAGGCCAAAGCACAGGACCTTGAACTGCCAGTGTCCTCTGTTAGTGGAGAACGCAGTTTTGGCTCTGGCCTCTGGGGAGAGGGGCACCTGCCAGTAGCCACTGCGGAGGTCTAGTGAGGAGAACCAGGAGGACCCCCTAACCAGGTCCAGCGACTCATCGATACGTGGTATGGGGTATGAGTCCTTCCTGGTTACCTCATTCAGCCGCCTGTAGTCCGCACAGAACCTCAGCTTGCCCCACTTCTTCGGAACCATGACGACTGGCGCCGCCCAGGGGCTGTCTGAGGGCTCAATGAAGTCTGCCCGCTGCATCTCCAACACAGCCTTGTCTGCCGCCTCCTGGCGTGCCAGCGGGATACGGCGGGGACGCATCTTGATAGGTCGAGCATCACCTGTGTCGATCTCATGCTGCACCAGATGAGTCTGACCCACCTCTTCCTCACTCAGCGCAAAGCTGTCTCTGAATTCAAACAGCAACTGCCTCAACCGTTCCTGCTGCTCGGGGTCAAGACCAACACAGTTCCTCCCCCATATCTCCCTCACTGCAGACAGTGTCCTCTCCCCTCCCATCTGGGGTAGCTGGGCTGGGGGGGGCGCGGCCCGGGCTCACAGAGGGCTGTGTCGTGGAGGTAGCTGGGGGAATGTAACACAACGCCGTAGGTGACAGGGGAGCTGGGGAAAAGTCACACCCAGATGTGGGGGAGGGGGGGCAGCCATGAGTCTCTGCTGCTTTAACTGTTGGAGTAAAGGGTTTGTTGGGTTGAGTGAATGTGACATTAGGGGCCATGGTGACCTCCGGCCCTCCCTGGAAGCTCAGTGTGCCCCTATTTAGGTCTAACTGGCAGCCTGTGCTCCTAAGAAAGTCCAACCCCAGGATACAAGGGTCCTGCACAGCCGCCACCCACACAGGATGACGCACAGTCCTGCCCCCTACTGTCAGAGTCATTATTCCCTTCCCTTTCATGGGTGCCAGCTCACCTGTGACTGTGCGGAGCTGCACAGTTGTAGGCTCACACTGAGTCCAACCTGGCACAATATCTGGCCTCACCAGGGTTACTGTGGACCCAGTGTCCACCAGGGCGGAGCAAGGCACCCCCTCCACAGTGACAGGGACATGACAAAAGTCCCCAACACAGGTCCGGCCCACCACAACAACAGGCTCCATCCGCTTGCCCTCGTCTGCTTCTGGGGGAAGTGGAGCCTTGCTTCCCCGTCTGTGCCGGTGGGCTCCTCCTGAAGAAGATGGTGGTTGGGATAGAAAGCCAGGGGTCCGCACTACCTGGTCTATGCGGACCCCGAGCCGTTTCCCTGAGCTCTGGGGGACATGGGGCAATCTCGGCGCAGATGGCCTGGCTGGCCACAACCCCAGCAGACCCTGGGACCAGGGCGTGTGTTTCGTGCCGCCTGTAGCGACACAGCACGAATGAGTTCTGTCATTTCAGCCACCCATGCAGGCTTTTCCGGCTCCGGGCTGCTCTGCCCCCCAGCTTGCACAGAGGGTCTGTCTCCCTGCACCCCCACCAAAGCCCCAGCTGAAGCCCCAGCCCACACCAGCTCCCTCTCCAAAGCCATCTCCAAGGCTACCTGCAATGACTCAGGATGAGCCAGCTGGGTCTGTATGCGCAGCTCCGTAGGAGAGAGCGCCTGTATGAACTGGTCCCGTGCTAGCTCGCTCTGCACGGAGGGGGGCATGTGAGCATATGCCCGCCGAGAGAGGCTCTCAATGTCATTAGCTAGCACCCGTAGAGGCTCTCCAGGCTGCCTGCGTCTATTACTCAGTTCGGAGCGCAGTAGCCCGGGCTGTACACACTGTCCATAGCGCCTCCTCAGTGCTCCCACTAAAGCACCATAATCACGTCTGTCCTCAGGGCTAATCAATATCAAACAGGCCAGAGCTTCATCCGTGAGGCATAAAGCCAACTGCAGTGCCCTATCTTCATCCGACCACCCCCTAAAATGAGCTAACAGTTCAAACTGAGCATGAAAAGCTTCCCAATCCGCCTTACCGGAATACTTCGGGGTCTTAACGGATACGGACGCAGCCGGGAACTGGGCGGCGCCATGTTTGTTTACATCCTGAGCCCCAGATTCCTCGTCCCGCTGCGTTGACGTCACCCCTTCGGTCCGCCCACCAGAATCCGCGCGAAACACAGTCGACGAAGCACTCATGCCCGCTTCAGCCGCCATCACTCTAACGTCCTCCCTCAAGCGGCCTCTGGGCTCCGATGCCCTGGCGATCTCCTCAGCCAGAACCCCCGACGTCCATGCACACGCACCTCCTTGGCCATAATCGTCCCCTACCTCCACCTTCACTTTCGGATTCCCTCGAAGCATCTTCAACCCCCGTTC